TAATACTAAAAATTATTTAACAAACTTTATAAAACTTTGAAAACGCGGATTTAAATTTTTTTAATTTCAAATAACTTCTTAAAATCGTGGAACGGAATAACAATCTTTTGGTGGACTTAAAAATAAAAACTTAAAATAAAAAATGATGCAACAAACTTTAAAAATAAAAATTAGCACTTCAGAAAAAATGAAAATTTATCACTAGATTTGAAACTCTATTATCAATATTATTATATAATAGATTTGAAATATATAGATAAATATATAGAAAATATAAATATATAGATTTCAAACTCTATTATTGATATTATTACATGTTCACGACATTTGAATAAGCCTGCAGATTATTTATCATCTCTCTATATAATAATGTATTATTTTTATTTTTAATCTATTGGCTGCAGATTCTGAATAATATTACAACTTTTTTATTATTATAAAGTCTACTGAGTTTTAAAGGTAATATACAAAATAATCAACAGGCACTCTTCATTCATCACTATTTTTATTTTGACTTAGCAGTTTGTAAATACTATATCCTGTAGCACCATCAAAAACAGTCTTGCATCTAAACGCCAGTTTAGTTAATTACTTAACATTGTGATTAGCACATAAGTTTGTATATTACATAGCTTTTTAAGAGTGTGTTTTAGAAGATCTTTTAGCAGTATTTGTACTAACTAGCCATCTATTTGAATGTTCTTGGGATAGCATTTAACTTTTGAAGATTTTATACCATTATATAAAGGATATGTGGCAGCCATTTTTTTAACACCACTTCTTAGAAGCTGGAATATTGATTTTAATATCACCATTAATAGTTAATGATAAAGTTTCATCAGATGAATATATCTAAGCAGGTTTAATGGGATTTTTATTTCAAATTTCAAAAATTTTTGTGCCATTTTTGTATTTAAACTCACTTCTTAGTTTCAATTTTGTTGCATGAAGTAATTTATGGCTAAATAAAATCTTAATAACATTGTTAAGCCTATTCTTTTTGTTCTGTTGCAAGCTTTTTCTAAAGAGCAACATGGTTTCCCAACTTTATTAACTGATGATGTAGCATTTAATGTACCGTAGGTGTATTGAAAATCTTGAGCTAGCTAATTTTTATTACTTCTCTCAAAATGAGTATTACCATTGTTTGCAGCTAATAACTTTTTACATTATAATTTTATAAAGTTTTTTACTCAGAATCCTCTAGTTTAATATCTGCAGAAACTAGAACAGTTAATTTCAATGAAAAGAATGGTATATCATTGGAACTAGTTTATTTTGTTGTGTAAGTCTGCAAATGTCACCAATTTTTATTTTATTACTGAACAAAAAAACAAAAAAATTGTTAGGTAAACAGTGCAATTTGTATTGAATTAAATAACAAACAAAATAACATGTATTTTTGTTTACGAGAAATAAAAGTTGATTTAAAGCAAATAACATAAGCTACAAGTCATTAATTTAAAATGTTCAAGAGACCCAAAAGAGGAAGAAGGCAATGTATGTCTTTCAAACAGGTTGTATACATATTACATTTAGTAGTTTAAGTATTTAATATAGGTTCTCGTAGGTTCCCTAAATTATGTGACACTTTTTTGTACAAAATAAAAGTAATATACATTAAAAATTTCATTATTTTAAAGCTTTATTCGTTATTTCGTTATTAATTTATTAACACAAACTATCAAAATGCACAAAACCTCATTATTTTAAAGCCAGATTATAAGTGTATTATAAAAACTGATCTTTACTTTATATATTTTTTCAAAAAAGTTTATTTTTAAATATTTTAAATATATAAACTAATCTTATAACTAATATATAAACGTTAACTTATAAAATTTAAAAGTTACTGTTTAGTATAGCAATGTATAAAAAAAAAAAAATTCAAAATTTTTAGGTTTTGCCCATCACCTGGCCCACTATGTTACATTTTGTGCAAACTTTTGATGCAGCCATTTATTTAAAATTTAGATATAAAAATATGTCTTGGGTTTAACTTATCTGTCAAATCTATTTTAAATTATTACTAAATATTGTTCAATTTTCAAGTTTTATTTGTTCTTAAAAAAAAAACAGCTTATTTTTATCGCAATTGTTTTTTAGGTTTTCCTTCCTAAACATTTTTTTTTACTGAAAATTAAATTTTAAATAAATGGCTGCATCAAAAGTTTGCGCAAAATGTAACATAGTGGGCCAGGTGATGGGCAAAAAAAATATATATATATATATATAAAATATATATATATATATATATATATATATATATATATATATATATATATATATATATATATATATATATATATATATATATATATATATATACATATTTATATATATACAGGCATTGTTAAGAGATTTTGTTGCATAACAGAAAAGCGCAACACAAATAAATGTAACTTTACTCAATAAAGATATATACATTGTTAAAAGTTTAATTACATTAGTTGCGTATTTTAAAATACCTCATTGTAATTAAATTTAAAAACACATTAAAAGTCTTTGAAATGAAATATCTTTAAAATAAACAATATTGTTTTAAAAAATAAATAAAAAAATTCAAATTTTGTTTAAAAAAAGATTTCCTTAGTTTAAAATCTTATAATTATTTAAACTTTTTTTTTCTTCTTTTAAACATTCGATATTTTTTATATCGTTTATATCATTTTTTTTATATTTTTTTTAATGAGGGGACACTTAGTTATGGTTGATTTTCTTAAAGGCATTTTAGTAACTGGCTTATGACAAAATAAAAACTGTAATAAAATGAAGATTACCGCTTTTCGGCTTTATTTATTTTTATTTATATTAAAATATTTTATTTTTATGTACCGTTAAACCTAATGTATTTTCACTATTTCTTACTACATCCAAAAAAAATTAGTATTTTCGGTTTTAAAATGTTTTTAGCAAACCTTGTTTTTAACAATTATCAGTTTTTGGGTGAGGGTGTATTATACCCGATGATATCAAAAGTTAACAATTTTCTGTATATAACTTTTAAACCTGAAGCAGTTGGCTGACAACCTGATCAATTCTGGTGGGTATTTTTTTAGTAAGTGGACCATACAAATAAAATGCGGGCATAAAATCAGCATCTGTGTAGATGTTTTCATTCAGGATGAAAAACAGCTTAACTAAAACTTTTACAAATATTGTTTGGTGTGAAGGCAAGAGGAAAAGATTTTCCCACCAAGCCAGCAATATCATATATTATAGCAATATCATATATTATATTTCAATATCATATATTATATTCCAACAATATCATATATTATATTTCCCACCAAGCCAGCAATATCATATATTATAGCAATATCATATATTATATTTCAATATCATATATTATATTCCAGCAATATCATATATTATATTTCCCACCAAGCCAGCAATATCATATATATATAAAATCAATATATAGTTAATGGTTTTCCCATATAACCTGGAGACATTAGTAACTCTTTAGCCACTGTATAAGTCTTAAAAGGCCTAAAAACTGACTTGTCTAATGGTTGCATATGATAACTAGTATGTGGATGTAATAAGCTTTACACCATTATCTTTGGCTATATGTATTGCGGGTACTGAAATATGACTTTTATGATTATCTATTATGAGAATGACTGCTTGTTCTTTGGTAGGCTTTGCATATTTGATAAAATGCTGGAGGAATTTCACAAACACGGACTTGTTTGACCAACAAGATGGGTTGGCACCTCCAATACTGCCTTCAGGAGCTCCAGTTATCATAAAATCTTTAAAGTTTACACGACGGAATATCACCATGGGTAGAAAAAAATCACCACCTGCATTAATAGCCACTATCATTTTAACCGTTGTTCCACTTTCAACGCTAGTCATTGACTTAACTTAAGTACTAGTTTGAATTTTACAATTATATGATTAGCAATTTGTCAAACAGAGATATTGACTAGATCAAACAAAACTCTATAATGTAGCAAATCACAAAAAAGTTACAAAATGCAAAGTAAAAAACAAAACATTCTCTTTAAAAAATTTCTCATTATATTATGTAAAATACACACAGGTTTGTAAATATAAAAAAAAAAAACTTTTTTATCTAAGAAAATAATTTTTTTAAACCTATTTCTATGATCTAAATTCTCTTTGATTATATTTTCTCACTTTAGACTTTTCTAGAAATGTCTGTTTCAAAAAACGCACAAAGGGACACTAATGAAATTTATAACATATCGTTCAGTATTATAATATATAGATGAGTGTGAAATAATTTAATAAAATATTCTAATAAGCCTAAGTACATCATCCAGGTTGTAGCTTGGCCACTGACCAAGGAACAACTGATCGACAGTTAACAAGGTACAACACTACTCCAACTTCAACAAAACAATAAATTTTAAATGGTTTTGAGGTTACATATTTCGTAAGTTTTTTATTGTTTGGACACATGTTAAATAAAAGAAGCCATAGCATATAAAAAATAATTGACTATTATAAAACGTTTAAAACTATCAGACTAAATAAAATAAATTAAAAATGCTTACATTTTTGCAAAAAAAAAAGTTTCAATGTTGTTAACAGCAAACACCGGCTTAATAGCGGTATGTGACTAACTTCACATTGAATAGTCGGTGATGAACCGAATGCCATAGACATTAAAATTAAATATTCGTGCAAATATTTCAAACAAGCCTACTGGCCTAGGTACACACAGTGCCAAGGTTCAACAGGTTCCCCTACTACTGAATTTAAAACCGAAATTATTTTTTCTATTTTAAATATAAAAGAAAAATTGAAAAATTGAAAAAAAAATTTAATATCTTTTTACTGCAAATATACAAAACAGAAAAACAAAAACAAAGTATAACTTGACACTGCAACTAGATACTAAGTAGCAGTAACTAGGTACTAATTAATTTTTTTTATCAATATTAAGTTTGTCAGTAATAAAATATTTTCTAAAAATAAAACTTTTCCTTTCCTAAATAACATTAACAAAAATAAATAAAATTTACCAAGCTAAAATTTTTTGTAAAAACCAGCACTGCAGAGAGAATTCCAGGAACTAGTAACTAAAATAATAACTTAAAAACTTAATAACATCAAAACATAAAATAATATATATATATATATATATATATATATATATATATATATATATATATCTTTATTAAAAATATATATTTATAATAAATGATAGACAATGATAGGCAATGATAGACAATAGCATAATTAAAACAGCCAATCATACCATCAACTATTGATCTTAGATAACAATAACAAGAAATAATAATGAAGTCATTCACTTAATGTTTTAAACTGCAACATCTTCTGTAAGCTGAGTGTACAGAAATTTACATTAGGTAAATTTCAATTTACTTTTTTTAATTTTTCCTTGTTTTTTATTATTTTTCAACATAGGATAATGCAGGGAAAAACTAAGCATAATGGAAAAGAAAGACAGACAGCATTTGTCATACCAATCCCACAATTTATTGTTTTAAATATTTTTTTCAAATAGTTGTATTATTAAACTATTTATTTAAAAAAAAAAAACATAAATTATAAAATAATGAAACCGCTTGGCTTTTTTCTTCTTGACTATATAACAATATCAAATTAGAAAGCATGGCTATTCCAATTTGTTCTTAGTTTCAATGTCTATTTAATTTAAATATGCAATATTTGCAAAGCTTAGTTGTAATACAACGTGTTTATTTTCATTTATTATACTTACTTAACATGTTTTCACTTTATCTAAAGTTGAAGATTGTTAGAGGTTTATAGCTGCAAGAGTTTTATTTTTAATTCCTGTTTTAAACAATGTAGTGATGTGTCAATGCAGAATTTGCAAACTAATTTTCAATTCAGCATCATATCATAGTACACAACAAAAAGAAGTTCATTAAGGTTTAACAGATTCAAAACATGCAAATTATTAGGTTAATAGTTTTAAAACCTATCAAACCCCTGTAAAATAATTATTTAAGTTTAAAATCTAAAACTAAAAGAAAGTATTTTTGTTCAATTTTATCGACAACGTTGCTATTGCTGAATAATTTTATTAAAATGTTAGCTTAAAAGATTTAAACTTTTTTTTTAATTTTTGAATTTTTTCTACTTGTAAATAATGAGCATATTTAATTTTTTTAAATTCAAACTTTTATTTCAACTGCGTGCGGTTTTTAAAATACTTTATTAAATATTAAAATAATCGTAAATTACTTCATTAAAATTCCGCTCAAAAATATCTTTAAATATACTCAAACAAAAAATTTTTTGCTCGACGCAAATAGCCCTAGCTACACGCAAAATCGCCCTTGGACGACGTAAAACTCACATCGCCCGACGCTTTATCGCAAGGCCTGCTTTAAATACCACCTTTTTGTTTTAATCGGGTTGAGATAAAGGGATATAAGCATATCAGCGAAGTCAACACCTCCCGTTGACTTGTTATAATCCTTTACTATTTATGGG